AAAACAGAAGTTCCTGATAACTCGGAAGGGGTATAATGAATCAATTTAAAAAAGAAGAGGAAACATGGTGTCCTTTTATGCACGAAATAAAACTAAATGCAAAATTGCAAAGGAAGATAGACAGGATTTAATCTGGAATTAAATAGCCAGGAAATTTTTAGAGATAAGATCTTTTAAAAGTAAAAGACAAAAACCAAGAAATTTGGGCGTTTCCAAACCGGGCAAGCCTCGCAAATATACATAAACATTGCGTGCCTGCAACTTCCCAGAAGAACTTGCATCAAGGGTGAGCTTAGAACTAGTTGTGGGGCGATTGCAAGAGCTGTAAAATATATTCCTTGATGAGATTGTGGTTTTAAAATGACAGAAACTGTATAAGATGTCTAGGAAATTTGAATTTATGTGTTTTTTTTTTTTTTAATTTTACATGAAATTCACTAAATAATCTTTTAAAACACTAATTTATTGGTTTTTTTTAAAGTGTGTAGATTGTTTTTTTATAAAAAGATGAAAAAAAACAATTTTAGGGGGGACACCAAAATCCCCCGGTGACACAAAAAATGCGCCCCGGGACCCCATCTTAAACACCTCTTTTTTGAACAATCCTTTACTTACAAGAAAACTCCCCATTAAAAACAATTAGAACTACCCTATAAAATTTTCCGGGAATTTGGAAATTTTAAGAGTTTAAACCCATTAAAAATTTCCCAAATTTAAACCCCTTAAAAAAGTCCAAACATAGATAAAAGTTCACGTGCATTCGCCCCGCCCTTTGTTTTTCCCCATTTAAAAACGAAAAAAAAAAAGTAGATAATTTTCGACCCCCCCACACATGGAGTAGATCTATGTTTGGACATTTTTAAAACCCTTGGGTCCAAGGGCAAAATGAATGGTGCCCCCATGCCAAAAATTTTTGAAAAAAAAAAAATTTTTTTTCTTAAGAATTAAAGGCTATTTTTTTGAAGGTAATAAGAAAAAAAAAAAAATTCTGATCGTACTTCCCGGTACAGTCCAAGAATTTGTCAAAAATGATTGGTGGCGCAACATCAAAAATTTCCCACTACGCGCATTACTTATTTTGGGGGTTTTTTTTTTTTTTCTTTTCTTTTCCATTTTTTTCTTTCCTCAACTTTTGGGGGGCCTGAAAACCCAAAACGGGATAAATTTTTTTAAATAAACTCACTGTATTGAAAAAAAATAACCGCACTAAAGTTATTATCATATTTTTGTTTACCACTGTTGTTATTACAAAAAACACCAAATCTTGTAAAATACTAATGTTCTATCAAAATTTTTACATATTTACAATCATGGACAGGGTTTTTAAAACGCGGAGCTTGTAAAACCCTTAAAACAGGACCATGCAAGGCACCTTACATTCCCCACACAAAACCCGGTGTTTTTGGTCTTTGTTCCCTCGTTTTTTTTGTGCACAGAAGATGCATCTTTCTGACAAATTTCTTCTGATTAAAGGAAGTTGTATTATGAAAGATCACCTTCCCCCTCAAACCTTGGGTATATCTGGGGGAATTCGAAACCTTTTTATAGCAGGTGTTTTTACCTGGTATTCTTATATTGTCTGAAACAACAAAAAAATTCCCCCTTGGGGGTCTTTTTGCCGTCTTTTTTTGGTACATATTAAAGATTGAGCATTGCAATGCCCCATGAGATGGAAAAAAAAGTTTCATTCCCTTTTGAACTTTACGAAACATTCAACAAAACCCAATCTGCATGTCACATTTGCAACCAAGCGCAGTTTGTGTATAATCAATCACTGTCACGGGTTTTCGAATCTTATTAGTAAACCGATCAACTTTGCCACTGTCTTGCATTTCTTTACGGTAAATGGTTGTCAACAAGTGACATCTTTTTTGTCATCCCACCGAAAGCCATGATGTCTTTGGCATAAACACCTGCACGTATCACCAAGCACCTGCTTGAGCCTGGCAATTTTACGTTGAACGCATGTCCACACACATCTGTCTTGTTCACTTCGATGAAATCACTGCGTAAGGGGCTTGGTACCAGTTTGTAAAAGTATCCCCCTTCCCAAGATAAGGTGCCATCATTTTCTCACTAGTCCCTGAGATCCCAAAAACATCTTGGTATCTTTAATGTTTTACTACCCGTGTAACAAAAATACCCAACACCGGGCCACTGTCAAAACCCAAGATACAAACATTTTTTCCAAACGTTTCCTCTGTCGGTATATACTGCTTAAAATAAAACAGTCTACCTTTGAAAAAAATAAAAAGACCTCAATTACAAGATTCTTGAATGGAAAAAAGTATATGCTGCTTTTGTTTGGATACATGAAAACTTTTTTAATCTTTTATAACCGTCATTTTGTCCCGGCCTGGTTTTGCAAGAATGCAATATATAAGATAAGAAAACCCTTTTACTGGTATGATTCACGAAAAACCGGGGTAGAAAAGCCCATCTGTGACCAGATGCTTTTAAAATTATCTTATAGACATGAGGCATAAAATTATTGTTTCAAAAAGCAAATAATTCTGCAAAAAGTCGTTTTTTCCACCTGGTAGTCTTGACTGTGTTGATAAATCGTTTTGCCATGGTGTCCAAAAAACTTATTCTTTTCCCCGACAAAAATTTTCCCTCAATGGCTGGGCAAAGAAAAATTCAAAGAATTCCAGTTCATGGGCCCTGTTCCAAGGGGACAAGTAGGTAGAATTCCACTTTGAGGTCATCAAAGTGGGAGGCTTGGGGAAAAAATTGGGATTTTGCTGCCAATCCCACTCGGGGTTTTCTGGTGGATATGGACATCATAGGCTGGTTGTGGGGTGGTTTTGTTGTGGTGGGCTGGTGGTGGCGCTCCCCCTTTGTCCTTGAAAATGAGGTTTTGCAGAGGGTCCCAGCGGGGGCCCGGGGAGCACGCATGCGGTGCCAGAAAAATCACCCAAACCCATCCACTGGCCTGTGGGGCTATCCATGCCAAGTGTAGCCCATCATCCCCATATCACTACCAAAAAATGGTGTTGGGCCCGGGGTTACTTTGGGATGTACTCCGGGAGTATCCGCCCCGGGGGACAGCATAGGGGACACACCCGGCGCAGCGGCGGCGAAAATACCGCGCTTCATGGGGAATATATTCCTCACTATCACTACTCGAATGATCGCGAGCCAATAAAATCACAGTCCAGCACTATCACATCATTACTGAAAGCAGGCCTGGCCAGCGAAAAATTAGTTTTTCTTGCGATAGGAACAACCGACCGTGGTCACGAGTGCCCCACCAGAGGGGAGAAAGGGTTTAGGGTCGTCAGGGTTTTCTGCACTTTATCGATATCCGGGCATTCTTTTTGGGCATAACTGACAAGCCGTAGAATTCGTCTTCTTTCCACTTCCTCATGTCAGAACATCAGATAGGGAAAGGAGAGCCCTTTTCCGGGATGAAGCGACTTGCGACGGGCATGGTGAACAAGGGGGAACTGAGCGGCGTTCCCACTGGTATTTCGGGCGCCTAATTTTTTTTTTATGGGGCACACCCACCACGCAGACCCGTTCTCTCACATGTAGGCCCATGAGGTTTTTTGCCTAAAATTGACGGGCGCTAGAATTTTTGGGGAGATCTACGGTTTGGGCACCAAGTAAGCCCTAGACACGGGAGGACCCTGAAAGGGTTAAGGGTTAAAAAGAGAAACCAAAATAAAAAACTGTAGCCATTTTGTGACTAAAACAGCCTTTTTGTTCTTAATTCCATTCCCAGGCTTCCGATAACATTGTCCCCACTTTAAAATCCATACAAAAAAAAAAAAAAATTTTTTTAATTTCCCATTAAAAAACCCAAAACCCCAGGAAGTTTGGGGTCTAGCTTAACCCACCCCAAAATTTTAAAAAACAGCCAGTAAAAATTCAAAAAAACTGATGGGGGCCTACCCTTTCCTTCCTTGGGAAAAAATCACTCAAATTAATTATTTTTTACCACTTTGAAGCCAATTTCAGCCTATTTCCGTCTTAAACTGACTACATTTTCCCCTTTAACCCCTAAGGGAAGGTTCCTTGTGCTGGTGAGGGGCTTTTGATCTGAGAATTGGATCTTGCCCCTTTTCCCTAAATTAAAACCCCTGAATACCCTCCACATCCCCCCACAGGCACGTATAACCTAGGGGTTTTTGCGCCCCCCCTGATTTAATAATAATTCTCCCTTTAATTTGAATGTTTTGCACATCTATTAAAAACCAAGAAACAGTCAATAAAACCACAAGAACCCCCCAAAAAAAAAAAAAAAATGTCACATTATACCCAAATGCGGGGTCAGGGGTAGCTTTCCACATGTACTGCATGGGGGAGGATTTTTTTTTATAAGCTTCCCAAAAACCAAAACCAGACCCATTCTTCATGTGGAAGCCAAATTTTGCCATTCACAAAAAATAGAAGGCATTGTAAAATATGCAAACATACTCCTTAACTTTATTGCTATGACTACTATATGGATGACAGCTTTGGGGGTTAAAAACAAATTAGATTTATATTTTATGTATGATAAAAAAAGTCAGGTGAAAAAAGGGGGTAAAAACCCCCCTTATTTTAAAACATATATTTACGCAATGTTGTACTTGGGTATTCGGGTTCCCTTATCTTCCTTTTTTTTTTTTTTTGTTTTAGGGTTTTGCTAAGTGTTAAAAAGCCATATTATATAACTAGGACAGCGCTGATAGCCCTTGGGTTTGCGTTCTATTTGATTATAAAAATTTAAAAAATACTAGACTAGGGAAGTTTTCCTATTTGCTGAAGGGGGGGAAATGAGGCAGCAGGTGTAAGGGGGGCTTCTCAAGGGTCTTGCTTTTTTTGAGGGATCCTTCTGTGGAGATTTGAAATTTGCCTTTTAAACAGCGGGCCACCAACTCATTATGTGGGGGAAAATTTTTTTTCAGAAATATGCGAATGTTGTTGGAATTCAAGAGTCCACATACCTCAGAAAATTTTATTTTTAGTTCCATCGGATTTAGAAGGGTTGGTGTCCTTAATGCCTAAAATTTTCCACATCATCTGCTCTCCAATCAATGGTGTGAATATAGGTAATTTGTAGTTTTACAACTTTGTATTAATATGGTCTGACAAAAAAGTCTGGGAAGAATAGCTTTCATGTACATAATAGAATCTGCTTTCAACGTATTTCTTAGTTGTTAATCCTTTTACTGTTGCAACTCCCAAAATTAAAAGTGCTGATTGCATCACATATTTCAACAACAACAACAAAAAAAATCTTCTGAAAATGGTTGAATCTTTTTCAGAAGGTAATGACACCAAAAAATATCAAATTTGATGGGAAACTCAGGGAATTACACAGACTCAGAGTTGTAATTCTATAAGCAGTTTACAAATCAGTGATTTCACCCATTTTGAGTCATATTTTCTGTCTACTGAGTGCAAGAAATTGTTCAATCAACTTTCAGAACTATCGTATAAGGTGCCTAGAAGTAGGAAATTTGGCCAGTTTTACGAGAATTTAAAAAATATTGTGATTTAAATGTATGTTTTCTGAAATAAACACTGCAGGTATACCAGCCACTAAAGCAACCTATCTGTTCATTAACCCGTAAACGGTCCAAGCAGATCTACGTTCACATGCGTAGTGCTACAAAAGTAGATCTTAAACGTTTTTTTTACATATTATCAAATAGAAGAAAAAAAAAAAATAGATCAAAGATTTTTTTACACGTTTTCAGATGAACAAAAAAAGAAAGATCTACTTTATATTTACATACAAATCAAATGTTGAAAAAACTTATATAAGTATAACGATTGGACCGTTTACGGGTTAATCCCATCCCCCAGGGCCCCAGCCTATCCTAAAATAATAACACTTGCCTTCCATTTTGTTGAATTGAGAAATGGAATTGGCTGAAAATAGGACTCAAAGTGGGTAAAATTACTGATGCATAAATTGCACCATGATTGCCAACTTTATGCCTGCATAATTCTGTAAGTTTTCCATCAAATTTCATATTTGGTGTCCATTCCTCAGAAAAGATTCCCACCATTTAATTTTTTTTTTTTTAAATTGTGACATTGTCAGTAGTTTTAATAATAATGGGGTCACAACAGTGAAATGGTTAATATCCTGCATTTTGGCCTCTGCTTTTTTTATTGTTTTCTGTTTCTTATACGATATAGTGCTGTGTTTTTGATTATGGTCTTCAACCCTATGGACTGTATAATACAGGACCATGGCTTTTAAGCATTTTTTGTTGTATATATATGATATTTTATTAATAAAACAAATTTGTACCCACTGGTTTACACAATACAGTCATACCCCAGTTTACTTCATCTCAGCTTACAACAAATTCGCCTTTACACCACTTTTCTAGAGTAAATTTCAGTTCAGCAAATGTCATTACATCCAGCGTCACATCACTAAGCAATGTCACCTACATCATAATAAAAGGACATGCAATAAATCAGTTTTTCCTTAAAAATATATTTAAAATAAATACCTAAAACAAAAATTAACAATAAAAGATAAAAGAAGCTAAAAACAATTTAAAATACAGTAAAACCCCCATATCCACTGATTCGGTATTTGCAGTTTCAGTTGTCCATGGTTTACTGTGGCTCAGAAATACCTCTTAATTTTGCATAATAATGGCCCCAAAGTACAAAAGAAGAAAAACTGGCAGTTCTTCAAAGCCTAAGAGAAACCATGAAGTGCTTCCCATCAGTGAAAAGTGATAATTCTCCACTTACCTTTCATAATTTATCAATTAAACTTTATAACAGGCATGTATAGGACTTATATATAGGGTTTGCTGCTCTCCATGGTTTTGGTATCCACAGCAGGTCCTTGGAATGTATCTCCTGCAGATATGAGGTCCTTCTGTACAATAAAAAGACATTAAAAACATAAAAAATATATACATATACATGTAAGGTGATGAGGGTATCAAATGATTTAGATAAAGAAAAATTGCATATCAAATTGGAGAGGAGGAATATGGAAGAAGTGAATGTTTTCAGATGTTTGGGAGTTGACATGTCAGAGGATGGATTTATGAAGGATGAGGTTAATCATAGAATTGATGAAGGAAAAAAGGTGAGTGGTGTGTTGAGGTATATGTGGAGACAAAAAAGTTATCAATGGAGGCATAGAAGGGAATGTATGAAAGTATAGTGGTACCAACACTCTTATATGGGTTGTAGCTTGGGTGTAAATTGTACATGCGAGGAACTTTTGGAGGCAGTGTAGAGATGTCCCATGTCTAAGAGCAATGTATGGGTAAAATATTATGCAGAAAATTCAAGAGTGGGGAAATCAGGAGAAGGTGTGACTTAATAAAATATAGTCAGAGTCTGAAGAGGGGTTGGTGAGGTGGTTTTGGTCATTAGAGAGAATAGATTCAAAGTAGAATGAACATGGAGAGCGATAAATTGGAGGGGAAGGAAGGCGAGGTAGTGGTCGTCCTCGAAAAGGTTGGAGGGGAGGGGGTAAAGGAGGTTTTGTGGGCAAGGGGCTTGGACCTCCAGCAAGTGTGCATGACCCTGTTAGATAGAGTGAATGGAGACGAATGGTATTTGGGACCTATGAGCTGTTGGAGTGTGAGGCAGGGTAATATTTAGTGAAGGGAATTCAGAGAAACCGGTTTATTTTTATATAGCCGGACTTGAGTCCTGGAAATGGTAAAGTAACACTGCCTCCCCTTTAAAGGAGGGTTGGGATATTGGCATTGGAGGGAAATGTTAGTGTACTTTATACGTATATGCTTCTAAACTGTTGTATTCTGAGCACCTCTGCTAAAACAGTGATTATGTGTGAGTGAGGTGAAAGTGTTCAATGATGATGAAAGTATTTTCTTTTTGGGGATTTTCTTTCTTTTTGGGTCACCCTGCTTCGGTGGGAGACGGCCAACTTGTTAAGAAAAAAAAAAATGTACTGTACAATAAAATATTTACATAGAAAAATTTTAAATGTCCGTTGTTACATAGTTCCGCTGTCTTGTTGTGTGGTGCCATTGCTGCTGGTTCTCATTAAAAACAAGGGCAATGCCATGTGCATTTTTGCCCATACTGCAGTCGTGTGCTTGTTTTGCATTTCACTGTTATTTTTGTGATTATACCTTTACTGTGTCTGTTAGCCATGGGTCTTAAAAAGGATAGTGCTTTACAAATTAATACTAAAATATTCTTTAAATTCTTTAATGCAAGAATTATATTCTTTCATGTGTTATTTACATTAATTGTAAGATGTTTTTCATCATGCTTAAGGCATTTTTAAGGGCAGATCACAAGGTAAATAATATACAGTAATTTTTTAATTGTGTTCATTATTCTTTAAAAAATATGACTAAAATGTATTTTTAGATAGTTTTATTCTTTTGCGAGTTATTTACGCTAGTTTTACGGCATTTGTCATCATTTTAAGGTATTTTTAAGGCGCTGTGTTCAGTTTACATAAAAAATCAGGTTATATCACGGCTCTTGGAACCAATTAATGATGTATGGCAGGATATGACTGTAATGATATCTGAATATTTGTTTTATGTTGATATCTGAATGTTTGTTTAATGTAGCACTGCATATCTTTACATCACTGTAATTTATGTCATATAATTTTGACAGTAGTGTATAAAAATTAGATTGAATTCAATTTCAATACAATTTTTTCTATTTACTGCAGAGAAGGTGTCGTTTTGGAGAGGGATAGCAAAAGCACATCATATGTGGATATTGGTCTTGGTGTGGATGTTTCCATTAATCAGAAGCTTGAACCTGGACTGAGAGTTACACTTAAGTTGCCACCTGAAGCACGAACATTGCAGAAACCTTGTGGTGTTGTTGTATCAGCTGATGAGCCAAGATTGGAAGCTGGCTATTATTGGGGTTACACTGTTCGAGTAGCAAACTCACTCTCTGAGGTATTTATTGTATGTAATACTATGTGACAAATATTCACATTAGCAAACTTGACACATTACAAAATAATATAATTCATCAAAAAGACAGATTTTATTTAGCAACATAGCTATTCACCTAGGCTCACTCATAATCAAGTTACTGTGTGTTGCTCCTAACTTAAACTTGGTCCATGCATGGATAAATGAAATTTAATATGTAACATATAAGCCTGGGGTATTCCCTCAGTCTAAACCTTTATTGTGAAGTTAAGTGAAAGATCATGTGGATTATCTGTTTCTGTCCATATTATAACAGATTTACAGTCTAGTCCATTGAAAAGGAGTTATGGAAGAACAGTTTTGTGCTTTTTAGGTAAATGCAGTATATTTATAATAATAATAATAATAATAATAATAATAATAATAATAATAATAATATCTAAAAGTCCAATGAATGATAAGGCATGTAGTGGTACAAAGTTTATGACAATGGTTTTTAGATAGTTATTTTATAGGTTTACATCATCCATTTTAATAATGTGCAAAACTGGATTACACTCTCTTGGTTAAATATTATTTTCATTAAGAAATAAAGATAGCTGGGCCTCTTAACCCTTTGAGGGTCGACAGGCCCTCTCAGAAACTCGTTCTCAGGGTCAGCCAAATTTCAAAAAAAAAACAAAAAAAATTATTTTTTCTTATGAAAAAATAGTTTTTTTTTCTAAACATTATAGGCTAAACAAAAAAATTTTGCTGTCAATACTTACCGAGATATGGAGGCGTGAAGTTTGCCAAAATTGAACAACATCTGGTAACATCACCGACTGCCGTCACCCGGTATTTTTCTATTTACTTTTTTATGTACTATTTTCAATTATTTTTCAATTTTTCTTTTTCTGAGTAACTTTTATGGCCTCTGAGGCCAACATGATCATTATTTTGTAAGTTATTTCTTTTTCAATACTACACAATAAGGGCGTAAACACTGTTGTCATTATTTTGTTTATAGAAAATATTTACACAAACAAATGATATGAAATGTTGTTTATTACTATTTTTCTATATTTTATATACACATATACAGTCACAGGGAATGTTTCTAGAAGTTCTGCAGCCTGTGGAACTCTTTGAAACATGGTGTCATGCACAGTGGTGTTTTACATTCCTCACACATAAAACGAGTGTCTCTGCGTTGTTGTGGGAGTTTTTTTGTATGTGCACAGACGTAACACTTCTTTTGAGCCTTTTTCTTGAAAGCAGTAGCAGGCAGTTTTACCAGGAAGTGATCACCATGTTTTAGACGAGAAGGTAGTTGTTGATAATTTAGTGGGCGGTTTATTGCAGGTGTTCTTCCTTGGTACTTGAATACTATTTGCCTGATGACAGACAAACAGAATTCGCCATACTGTGGTTTGTTTCTGGTCCTCATCTTATACATATTATAAGCATTGAGCATGGAAATGTCCAGAAGATGGAAAAACAGTTTGATGTACCACTTATAACTCTTGCGAACACATTCAGCAAACCCAATCTGCATGTCACATTTGTCCACTGAACGCATGTTGAAGGTGTAATCAATCACAGCTGCAGGTTTTAGAATGGGTTCATTGCTCTCTCTATGCTGCCTGCCACTGTTTGCCATTTCATTAGGGTGAACTGATGACAACAGTGTGACATCTTGTTTGTCATGCCACCGAAATGCCATGATGTCATTGGCAGCAAACGCCTGCACCTCACCTCTACGAGTGCCAGCGTCAAACCTGGGCATATGTTTCCGATTTGCATGCACTGTGCCACACACATCTGTCATGTTCACTCGCAAAAAAATCACTGAGTGAGGGGCTTGTGTACCAGTTATCTGTATATAATATATGCCCCTTACCAAGGTATGGTTCTATCATTGTTCTAACCACATCACCTGAGATGCCCAATAACTTCCTGGTATTTTGCAATGTATAATTTCCAGTGTACACAATAATATCCAATACCAGACCACTGTAACAATCACAAAGCACAAACAACTTTATACCAAAGCATTTCCTCTTGCTTCGTATGTACTGCTTGAAAGAGAGTACTTTGAACAGAATCAAAGACTCGTCAATTACAAGCTTCCTGAAGGGATAAAAATGCATACTGAATTTCTCTTTCAGATACACAAACACATTCCTAATCTTACATAATCTGTCAGTTCTGTCAGGCCTGGTTTTGTCTGAGAAGTGAAGCATACGTAACATTAGCAAAAATCGATTCACTGGCATTATATCACTGAAACCTGGGGTTGCAATCAGGCAGTCTGTTGACCAGTATGATTTCACTTTGTGCTTATACACATGTGGCATAAGCATTATTGTGGCAAAGAAAAGATAGATCTCAGCCACAGTTGCCTCCTTCCACTGGTGTAGACGTGATTTTGGTGAAAGTAATGTGTTTGCCATGGTGTACTCGTAGTATGTGTTGCTTTCCATGACAATACTTTCCATCAGGGGTTCGTCAAAGAATAACTCAAAACATTCCAGTTCAGTGGCATTGTTCCCAAGTGTACAAGATGGCCGTATTCCACTTTGGCTGTCATCAAACTGGTGGGGATTTGGAACAAAATTAGACAGCTTCCTGTCAATCCCAGGTGCAGTCTGCTGGTGGGTACTGGACACTGACAGGTGGTTGTGGTTGTGGAGGCCGATGTGGTGGGTGGGTGGGGGATGGTGGCCTTTGTTGTAGATCAGCTGAGGCAGCAGTGTGGGTGGCATCATGGCCCACTGCTGGTGCCTCACCGCCAGCACCACTACCACCATGCACATTTTCCATCCCAATTGCAACTTTATCATCGTCATTTTCACTGTCTGTTCCTGTTGTACAGCCATGGGATGTACTCCAAGATGCACTCCTTCCCCTTGGAATAGCATATGGCACACTACCAGAGTGCATATATCGTCGTATATACTGACGCTTCACTGGGGAATATTGCACTTCACTATCACTACTGGAACTAGTTTGAAGAGCTTGTAGTTCATATTCACTATCACTATCATCACAACATGCTCTCATCTGAGTCTGGGATTTGGGAAAATAGAAGTTTCCTTTTGGATTCTGGTACAACTGAACGTGAACAAGACGGCCCAGCACCAGAGGTGGAAGGCTGAGGGTCGTCTGGGTTTTCCTCACTATTACCGATATTATGATCATTAGTTTCGGTCAAAACCTCACCAAAACCTTGAAACTCATCTTCACTGGCACTTCCATCTGTATTAGAACTGTCACTGGGGAACAAAAGTGTCCCAATTCGCCGAGGAGTGAGGAGCTTCTTACCGCGAGGCATGGTGGACATTGTTTACTAAGATGGTGTTCCCACAATGCACCACTGGGTCCCAGATTTTTTTTCTACCGCGCACACCGACCACACAGACCACACATCTAGTCTTACCAGCCTTTTCCTGCGAGATTGGACGGCGCTAGAATTTATGCATACTAGTACGTCAAAAACCCCTGCGCGTAAACCGTACTAGTACGTCCGAAACCCTCAAAGGGTTAATAGGCACTCTTATTTATGGAGTGATGAAATTAACAGTATATACAAGTTAGTGATGCAGTGTGTATGTTGATCATTTTTAACTCATTGAAGGCTTCTTTAAAACATTAAAAATAATTGAAGGGCTTCATGTGCCTTCATCAATTGCATGAAAGATTCCCTAGTATAAATACCTTATGAATTACTAAGTTACTAATAATTCTAATTAAATAAATTGTGATGAATATGTATCTAATGTTACAAATAATTTTGCCTTTCTGCAACAGTTATCTTCATTAAAACTTCAGATGTTTCTGTGCATATGCTTCTGTAAGAGTAGTGCTTTCACTCTGAAGGAGTCTGGATGTCACAGTTGGAGGGTAATCTGAATTATGATGTCACTACTCTTCTGGCAAGACTGCAGTTGAGTAAATGATGGTGAATGGATTTTTTTTTTTTTTTGGGGGGGGGTCACTGTGCCTTGGTAGGAGATAGCTGAGGTAAAAAATGAAAATTACATTTGTCTTCCCTAGTATCAGTGTACCTTGCATCCTTGCTCTTGCTAGGGCAGTCAGGAGGATACATTTAGGTAGGGGGGTAATTCTTTCTGATGCTTCATTCATAGTGAGCTGAACTTTTACTACCCCTTGCATTGAGCAACTTACACTGGCTTAGTGTAGGTTGTGAGAAATATTAGAGTTTATTTATTAGTACTGAAATTTTAAAATGAATTTTAAAATTGCACTTAGGTTGTTGCTGGTAGCAGATTTCCTGATGGCTATGACCTGCTAATTGGAACTTCAGATAAAGGTGATGATGCTCGAAAGACGGAGTATCCTACATTTTCACATGCGCTCATTGTATTTGGAGGTAAGTTATAAACAGGTCAGTTTGTAACAATAGAATTGTAATTTATTAAACAGTTTTTGATCCTAAAATAGTACAGTGTTGTTAAGGTGTTATCTGCTGTGATACTCTAACACAGATATTTCTTATTTTTTCTTTTGAAAAGCATTTTTATAGTTCTGTGTATGTACTGTATCTTCATAAATCTGCATTCATTAACTTGATATATTTTAAAGAGATAATTGCTAATGTTATGAATGAAAGGAACTTGGATGTCCTAGCTCTAAGTGAAACAGAGCTGAAAGGGGTAGGTGAGTTTCAGTAGGGAGCAGTAAATGGGATTAAGTCAGGAGTAGCCAGGGCTGGATTAACCATTAAGCAAAATAAGCACGTGCTTAGGGCATCAAGGGAAGGAGGGCACCACAGAAATTTTCCATAGCCGGATTTACCATGGACCATAGACCATATGGTGCAAAGCTGCAAATGGTGCAGCTGAACCAGGGTCCACAAAAAGAGGCTCACAAATTAAATGAAAAAAAAATAGATACATATATATACAACAACAATAATAATAATAAATAGTAATTATAGAAGTTAATGATATACAGTAGGGCCCCACTTATATGGCAGCTTAGGTTCCAGGCTACTGCCAGAAACTGAACATTACCGGAAAGCAGAACACCATTTATTTCCACTTATAAATGTCAGATAATAAGTTTACACTAACATATATTAAGTTAGCAATAGAACAAGGCATTAAAAAAACAATAAAAAGTAACATGCACATGTAGTACACTCATTACTTACCATAAAATATTTGTAGTCGTAATGGTCTTAATATAGGGTGTAAGGTGAATAGTAGGGTAGGTAGGTATTGAATAGTGTAGTAGGTATTGTAACCCCCATCTGGCCACCCCACCCACACATTACATACTATGCATTTACAGCACCCTAGAGCTATAAAATGCACATACAGTGCCTTCATTACTTACCTTAAAATATTTGTAGTCTTAATGTAGGGTGAGAGGTGAGTAAATGAGATTAAACGAATAAACGAGAGAGAGAGAGAGAGAGAGGGAGAATGAGTACATGAGAGAGGACAGACGCGAGTTATGTAAACATACCAGGTGAATGCATATGGTTTTAGTTCACTCCGCAAGCCGACTAGAAAAACATCTCATATTTATAATATAATAATGATATAATAATATCTTTATTTACTACAAGTACATGTACATGGTATACAGGCCTAGCTGACACCAAAATCATACTACTATATAGAAAGCCTCTTGTTATGCTGAGCATTTTGGGCAAATTAGGTCAATATCCCAGGATGTGACCCACACCAGTCGACTAATACCCAGGTACCCATTGTACTGACGGGGATCATAGACAACAGGTGAAAGGAAACACGCCCAATGTTTCTACCCTGGCTGGGAATTGAACCCAGGCCCTCACCGTGTGAAGCGAGAGCTTTAGCCACCAGGCCACCAGAGCCTGGTGGCTCTGGTATATTTATCATGTTTATATGTTATGTAGCATGTTTATTATATAATTTTGAAAAAAATATCATAGATGGATTAAGCAAAATGTCTATATTAATGTTTTATATGACATTTAATGCACCTCAGAGTGATTATTATTGTGTGTCATTATTATTATCATTATTCAATTCAAATTCAAATCCAAATACCTACAAAAACCTCTCACAGTGATAAACATCTACAGAGTTCCACAATCAAACATTAGCCAATTTAGTCAAAACCTAGGAAGTATGATAACTGATGCATGCATGAACAAAGATCACTTACTACTCTCAGGTGACTTCAATATAAATCTCCTGCAAGACCAGGACCCACACGTTACTGAATTCACAAACACAATGAGTAACTGCATGTTGCTACCAACAGTAACAAAACCTACAAGAGTTACAGAGACTAGTGTTTTCCTACTTGACCACATCTGGACCAACACATATCCCCTTTAAAATCAGGCATAATTACAGATAATACCACAGACCACTACCCTACTTTCCTCATAACAACTTGGTAAAAATAACCCCAAGACACTACTAAAGTCACCTTCAGACTTCACAATGAGGCAGCCATTAATAACTTAACAACAGCAGTAACAAACATTGACTGGCACACTGAGCTAGAAATCTATACAGATATGACGAATGTTTTAATAAA